GGCAATCTACTCACCTCAGCCTCCCAAAGCGCTGGGATTACAGGCTGAGCCACCGAGCCCGGCTAGGAATATGATTCTTTTTGGCACTTAGGTAAAGGAGCAGTTAGGTAAAAGAGAGGTTCCACAAACCCCCAAATTATATGCAAAATGTTATGCCCTTTGTCTTACATGCATTGTTCAAGAGCCCACGGCTATCATCAAATTATCAAAGTGCCTTCTCAACCAGGCCGTGGTGGTTCATGCCTGTAATCTCAGCAGCACTTTGTGAGGCTGAGGCAAGAAGATTGCCTGAGCTCAGAAGTTCGAGACCAGCCTGCCCTTGGCGAGACCTTGTCTCTACAATAATTGAAAAGTCAGCAAGGCATAATGTTGCATGCCTGTAATTCCAGTTATTTGAAAGGCTGAGGTAGAAGGCCTAAGCCCAGCAGGTTGAGGGTGCAATGGCTGTGAGTGTGCCACTGCACTCCAGCCTAGGCAACAGAGTGAGACTCCTACTCAAAAAAACAAAAAAGAAAAAAAAAACCCCAAATAGTTAAAAACTATTTCCCTCAATAAGTGAGGGAAAAACTTGAGATCCATTAATTGACATCACAGGTACCTTTGCTTACAGCAAAGCAGTAAGAGTAGTTGTTTGTAGAATAATGTAGCAAACCCTCATTTCTTGAATTTGAGGAGATATGCAGATTTTGCTCTTGCCAGAAATACCTACACTTACAGCATTCTGACCTGTTTGCTGATGATGTTTCTAGTTCTCATAAATGTTGATGTGAATATTTAAAGAAAAACTAGAAATTAAACTTTCCATATATTACTTCAATCAACAGTATCCAAAAGCACATCGTTCAACTTGAGACCGTTGGAAAAATTTTTCCTCCTGATAACTATGTTTTTTATTTTTAAATTTTATTAATTTTTTCTTTTTTTTGAGATAGTCTTGCTGTATGCCCAAGCTAGAGTGCAGTGGTCCAATCATGACTCCTGGATCCAGTTAAGCAATCCTCTCGCCTCAGCCTCTCAAGTAGTTGAGACTATAGGTATGTGCCACCATACCTGGCTAATTAAAAAAAAATTTTTTTTAGAGAGACAGGTCTCAAACTCCTGGCCTCAAGCAATCCTCCTGCCTCAGCCTTCCAAAACACTGGGATTACAGGTATGAGCCACTGTGCCCAGTGGTCAGTAGCTTCTTGACTCACCCTATGCAACTAGCTCCAGGGAGGGAGACAAAGTGGAGGTTTTGTGTTTCTACTTAAAAATCAATTGCTGATTTCCCCATAAGATTTTTTTTGTCTCAACTCCCTTTCTCTGTTTACATGTTCTTTGTAATATCATACTGTATTCCAGTATTCCATGTAATGGCAGTTAAGCATTTAAATAGGATTTTTGTTTTCAATATTCTAGATGCCAGTTAGGACATAACACCAGTGGTTCTCAACCTTTTTTCTACCAGTCACTGGAGGAACATATACATACATACATAAATATTTTTTTAAAAGGATAATTTTAATTTATTATACATATTCTTCTTTTTTTTTTTGAGTTGGAGTCTCACTCCATTGTCCAGGTTGGAGTGCAGTGGCATGCTCACAGTCACCCCAGTGTTGACCTGCTGGGCTCAGGCAATCCTTCTGCCTCAGACTTACAAGTAGCCAGAACTACAGGTGCATACTACCACATCCGGCTAAATTTTTTCATTTATTGTAGGGATGAGGACTTGCCAAGTTGCCCAGGGTGTTCTCGAACCCATGAGCTCAGGCAATCCTCTCACTTCGGCCCCCCAAAGTACTGGGATTACAGGCTTGAGCTACCATGCCCGGTCCATAAAAAAGACAATGGGAGGGCATATTTGTGGAAAATTCCCCAATGATTTTATCACTCACATTTCTACCCCATTGAGAATCACTGGTATAAACCATTCAGCACATCTACCAGCTATGTAAATCACAAAACACATGGAATAAAGTTGATATAATTTGGATGTCTGTTCTCTCCAAATTTCATGTTGAAATGTGACCCCCAATGTGAGAGGTGGCGTCTAGTGGGAGGTGTTTGCGTCACCGGCGCTGCTCACTCATGAATGGCTTGTCTTCTCCTGGTAATGAGGGAGTTCTCACTCCATTAGTTTATGCAAGAGCTGGTTGTTTAAAAGAGCCTGGTACCTCCTTCTCTCTCTCTTGCTTTCACTCTTCCTATGTGATACGCCAGCTCCCTCTATACTTTTCACCATGATTGTAAGTTTCCTGAGGTCTCACTAGAAGCAGATGCTGGTGTCATGCAACACTGTGAGCCGGATAAGTAAATTTTCTTTATAAAGTACCCAGCCTCAGGTATTCCTTTATAGCAATGCAAAATAGACTAATAAAGAAGGAATGCCAAGGAACTATTATTTACCTGATATGTTTTTTGTTGAACAGCATGAATTGATGCAATCTTCTTGAGTTACTGTATGTATGGGTTCATTGCCTCTGATTCCTTTAGGAAGAGATGACTGAATGTCAATGACAACATCTTCTAGACTCTTGGTGAGGCAATTCTGACTGGCGGACAGCCTTAGTGTCAGAAAACAAATTATCAGCAAAGTGTAAGTAAAGCTTCCTTCTTCCTTGAAGAACATTTTAAGTTTAGTCTTGATCTTCAAGGGTCAAGAATGATCCTCCCTCTGGTCTCAGCTTGCTTCAAGAAGATTGCACAGATGATGAAATTTCTCTCTAGAACAAGAATAGAAAATCATCAATGAGTTTTGCTTCCTTTAACAAACCAGGGAAGAAACATTTCATTTTCTTCAAGTCAATGAAAAGGATCCATGTATAATTTAGAGGAGGGCAGAAATGAACATGCATTTTATTTATTTATTTATTTTTGAGTTGGAGTCTCATTTTGTTGCCCGGACTGGAGTGCAGTGGCCGCTCCCGGCCACCATAGCCTTGCCTGCTGGGCTCCGGCGATCCTTCCACCTCAGCCTTCCGAGTAGCTGGAACTACAGGCGTGTGCTACCACGCCCAGCTCATTTTTGATTTGCTGTAGAGATGAGGTCTCGCCAAGTTGCCCAGGTGGGTCTCGAACCCGCGGGCTCAGGCAATCCACTCACCTCAGCCTCCCAAGGCACAGGATTACAGGCTGAGCCACCGAGCCTGGCTCACTTTTATTTTATTTTTGAATTGGGGTCTTGCTCTACTGCCCAGGCTGGAGTACAGTGGTGTGATCGTGGCTCATTGCTGCCTCGACCTCCTAAGCTCAGGAAATCCTTAACCCTCTGCCTCCTGAGTAGTTGGGACTATAGGCATGTGCCAACATGCCTAGGCTAATTTTTTGATTTTTTTTTTTTTTGGAGAGATATGGTCTCATTATATTGTCCAGGTTGGCCTCAAACTACTGGACTCAAGCAATCTTCCTGCCTCGGTCTCCCAAAGTGCTGGGATTATAGGTGTGAGCCACTGCACCCGCCTGTTTCACTTTTAGACTTGAGGCAATCTTTCATTAAAAACTTAGCAAAAAATGAATAAGCATAAACATGTATATTATCTCACCAATGCTTAAAAGCTGATAGTGTCTATGAAGGAAGAGGTATAAACAGCAAGGCTTCTTCTGAGTTCTAGAATCCTTCCTCTTCTTGCCTCTTCTATCCAGGAGGAGAGAGGACACCAATTTCTAGTTACTGATGAAGCACTGATATTAGGTTTGAGTATATTTCCTCTCTTAGTAATAGCGACCGGCATTTTAAAATCATCTACTCAGTGTTAGACATTGCGCTAAGCAATTTACATATATTACTTCTTTATACCAGTCCTGCAAAAAAGCTATTGTTTTCAGCCGGGCTTGGTGGCTCAGCCTATAATCCCAGCGCTTTGGGAGGCCGAGGTGAGTTGACTGCCTGAGCCCGCGGGTTCGAGACCTGCCTGGGCAACTTGGTGAGACCTCATGTCTACAATAAATCAAAAATTAGCCGGTGTGGTAGTGCGCGCCTGTAGTTCCAGCTACTTGGAAGGTAGAGGCGGAAGGATTGCCGGAGCCCAGCAGGTCGAGACTGTGGTGGCCGGGAGTGGCCACTGTACTCCAGTCTGGGCAACAGAGTGAGACTCCGACTCAAAAAAAAAAAAAAAAAAAGCTATTATTTTCATCATTTAAAATGAGGAAATTGTATACCTAACCCTGAATTGTATCCTACTCTTTAAAAAAATTAATAAATAAAATGAGGAAACTGAGGTAGCCATTCTATTTGCTGCCTCTTCTTAAGTATCAAACCATAACTCTAATAATCGAATTCTAGGAATTAATCAGTTAGTAGGGAGATTATCTTGGCTCAGCTGAGGGGAAGTTTAGGAGCAGATACTCTTTCTGATAACTTTAAAAACACAAAAGTCACATGAAGTATAACATCAATTCCGTTGGTAAGCTGATTCTTTTAGGAAAAATAAATGTTATACTGGAAAGGCAATATCAGAAACTATCCTCACCCACCCACCTTTACATTTCCAGAATATACATTGTTCACTGAATGACAGCTTAGAGCAGAATTGCTGCTTAACTTTCTTTGGTTATGAACCCCTTTGGTAGTCTGAGGAAGCTTAGGATCTCTTCTTGGAGACACGCTTTACAATGTACAAAAGGAAATGTATAAAATTGAGTCCGGGTCTCACTCTGCTTCCCATGCTGGAGTGTAGTGGCACAATCACAACTTACCAGAAACTTAACCTCCCAGGCTCAGGCAATTCTTCCACCTTAGCCTCCTGAGTAGTGGAACTACAGGTGTGTACCGCCATGCCTGCCTGATTTTTTTGTAGAGACAAGGTCTCACTATGCTGCCTAGGGCTGGTCTTGAACTCCTGGGCTCAAGCGATCCTCCCACCTTGGCTTCCCAAAGTGCTGGGATTACAGGCATGAGCCACTGTGCCCAGCCCCAAATGGTCTTTCTTTCTTTTTTTATTTTTGAGTTGGAGTCTCACTCTGCTACCCAGGCTGGAGTGCAGTGGCATGCTTATGGCCATTCCAGCGTCAACCTGCTAGGTTCAGGTGATCCTTCCACCTCAGTCTTCCAAGTAGCTGGGACTACAGGCATGTGTCTCCATGCTCAGCTTAATTTTTGATTTATTGTAGAGATGAGGTCTCATCAAGTTGCCTGGGCTGATCTTGAACCCATGGACTCAGGCAATCTTCTCACGTCAGCTTCCCAAAGTGCTGGGATTATAGGCATGAGCCACCGCACCCAGCCCCCAAATGGTTTTTTAAATGCCTAAAATCTCTGGTGAAAGAAATCAAAGATCTAAATAAATGAAGAGATATTCCATGTTCCTGAATGGGAAGTTAAGATATCCGTTCTTCCCAACTTGATCTATAGCTTCAATACAGTCCCAATCAAAATCCCAGAAAGCTAGTGGTGGATACCAATAAACTGATTTTAACGTTTATATGGATAAACAAATTTTAAAAAAGTTTACCTGGAAATGCAAAAAGACCTAGAATAGTTAACACAATACTGAAGAATGACAAAATTGGAATACTGACACTACCTGCTTTTAATACTTACTGTACAGCTACAGTCACCAAAACAAGTGCAGTCTTGGCAAGAGAAGAGACAACTAAATAAATAGGATGGAATAGTAAGCCCAGAAACAGACCCACATGCAACTGAGCTTTGACAAAGAAGCAAAGATGACTCAATGAAGAAAGAATAGACTTTTCAAAAATGGTGGTGGAACAACTGGATATCCACATGTAAAAAACTGAATCTAGACACATACTTTATACTTTTCACAAAAATTAACTCAACATGGATCGCAGACCTACATGTAAAACACAAAACTAAACAATTTCTAGAACACAGGAGAAAATCTCTGTGACCTTAGATTAGGTGATGAGTTTTTTAAAACAACACCAAAAGTACACTCTATGAAAGAAAAATTGATGTTGGATTTTATTAAAAACTCCTGCTCTACAAAAGACCCTGCTAAGAGGACAAAAAGACAAGCCACAGACTTGGAGGAAATATCTGTAAAACATACATCTGACACAGGACTGGTATCCAAAGTACACAAAGAACTCTTAAAGTGCAGTAATAAGGAAACAAAAAAAGCTCAAAAAATGGGCAAAAGATCTGAACAGACACCTCACCAAAGAAGATATACAGGTGACAAATAATCACATGAAAAAGTGCTCAACATCACCTGTCATTAGGGAAGTGCAAATTCAAACAAGATACACCTATTAGTATGGCTAAAATCCAAAAAACTGACAACACCAAATGCTGATAAGGAAATGGCGCAACAGGAAATCTCATTCACTGTTGGTGAGAATGCAGAGTGGTATTGCCCTTTTGAAAGAAGTCTGGCAGTTTCTTACAAAGCTAAATAAGTCTCACCTTTCAATTCAGCAATTGTCCTCCTATGTATTTACCCAATTGAGCTGCAAACTTAAGTCCACACAAAAATACACACAAGAATAATTATAGTAGCTTTATTCTTAATTGCCAAAAGCTAAAAGCAACCAAGATGTCCCTCAATAGGTGAATAAATGAGATATATTCATACATTGGGATTCTATTCACCAATAAAAAGAAATAAACTATCAAGCCACAGAAAGACATGGATAAATCCTAATTGCATACTGCTAAGTGAAAGAAAGCAGTCTGAACAGGTTTGAATCCAACTCCATATATGACATTCTAAAAAAGTCAAACTACATTGGCAGTAAAAAGGTCGGTGGTTCCTAGGAGACCCAGGCAGAGGGATGACTAGATGGATATTTAGGGTAGTGAAGCTATTCTGTATAATGCTGTAATGGTGGACACATGTGTTGCACATTTGTCAAAACTAGAACTATAAAACACACAGAGTGAACTTTATGTAAACTATCATCATTAGTAAAAAAAAATCAACAAAAAGAGTGAAAAAACCAAACAGTGTGTGATAATAGGACACGTTTAATACCTTTCTTGCTATTATGTCCAACTTTTATACAGTAAAATAGTAAGAAACGTTTTTCAATGCCCATTTCTACACTAAGCATTTTACATACAGCAAGTCATTTAATTCTTACAGGAATCCTAATGAGATAGAGCCTACTATTAGCTCCATTTTCAGTAAAAACTTTAAAAAGTTCACTTGAGTTCATGAGTTTGAGACTAGCATGGACAACATAGCAAGACTTCATCTCTACATAAAATTATTATTAAAAAATTAGCCAGGCATGGTGGTGCCCACTTGCAATCCCAGCTATTCGGGAGGCTGGGATGGAAGGATCGTGTGAGCCCAGGAGTCCAGGAATGAAAGGCTGCAGCGAACCATGATCATGCCACTGCACTCCAGCGTGGGCAACAGAGTAACACTTTGACTAAAAAACAAAAACAAACAGACAAAAAAAACTTAAAAAGTTGTGTGCCTGTTCAGTTCAGACTTAGAAAAAAAGCTATGTGATATATGCGCTTCTTTATTAACCTATTAAATAGCAAGTGGTACACCTAATAACTAGCATAATTTTTTTTTTTTTTTTTGAGTTGGAGTCTCACTCTGTCACCCAGACTAGAGTGCAGTGGCCGCTCCTGGCCACCGTAGCCTCGACCTGCTGGGCTCCGGCGATCCTTTGGCTCAGCCTTCTAAGTAGCTGGAACTATAGGCGCGCGCTACCACAACCAGCTAATTTTTTTGATTTATTGTAGAGATGAGGTCTTGCCAAGTTGCCCAGGCGGGTCGCGAACCCGCAGACTCAGGCAATCCACTCACCTCAGCCTCCCAAAGCGTGGGATTACAGGCTGAGTCACCGAGCCCAGCAACTGGCATAATTTTGAAGTAGTGTTGGGTATGACAGTGTTTTGAAATATTTGCAACAAGTGAAATATCCATGATTTCTACTGGTGACAAATCACAACTATCACTAACACTACTGTGGCTTTGCCTACATTCTTCTTGAAGGGAATGCTACAGTTCAGTTAGAGGTCAGTGAAACACTAAAATTTTCCACCCAGGTTCACAGACTTCCTGAACTCTCTCCACAGATACCTTGGGTATCATGGACTCCTCAGGTTAAGAATCCTGGCACAAGTTACTTATTATGCTGCTACCTTTTGCAGACCTCTTTTCTAGTCCCAGGAAAACAAAAGAGAAAACCAGGCAAGACTTTACTTTGAATGGTTTTGATGCAGTCTCTTCTCAAGCTCTTGTAAGAAGCCTAAACTATGTAGGGAGATGGGGCAGGAGCTGTGTTTTCTTTTCTTTTCTTTTTTTTTTGAGTTGGAGTCTCACTCTGTCGCCCAGACTGGGGTGCAGCGGCCGCTCCCGGCCACCGCAGCCTCGACCTGCTGGGCTCCGGCAATCCTTCCGCCTCAGCCTTCCAAGTAGCCGGAATTACAGGCATGCGCTACTACGCCCGGCTGATTTTTTGAGTTATTGTAGAGATGAGGTCTTGCTGCCCAGGCGGGTCTCGAACCCGCGGGCTCAGGCAATCCACTCACCTCAGCCTCCCAGAGTGCTGGGATTACAGGCTGAGCCACCGAGCCCGGCTGGAGCTGTGTTTTAGTATGCAACATCTTCACAGCCCTGGACTATAAGAAGTACTGAAGAGTTTACCTCATTAAAGATAAAGATAAGATTAAAGATACTCAACAGGCCAGGTGCGGTGGCTCACACCTGTAATCCTACCACCTTGGGAGGCCAATGCCAGAGGATTGCTTGAGCTCAGGAGTTTGAGACCAGCCTGGACAACACGTGAAACCTCATCTCTACAATAAATCAAAAAACAAGCCAGGCGTGGTGGCAGGCACCTGTAATCCCAGTTGCTCAGGAAGCTAAGATGGAAGGACCTCCTGAGCCCAGGAGGTCGAGGCTGCAGTGAGCCGTGATCATGCCACTGCCCTCCAGCTTGGGTGACAGAGTGAGACACCGACTCAAAAAAAGAAAAAGAAAAAAGAAAAAGACCCTCAACAATTCTTAGGTTAAGGAAGTCTTCTAATCCATCATTGTTTACTTAGGCCTTAAGGATCTGAAGTCGAGTTGAACCACGTTGAAAGATAGGGGTGAAAGGACACGGCTGGGAGAGAGAGGAAGAACCGGAGCTTTAATTCCTGATGAGAATTAAAACTTACTAAACCGACTACTTCCAAAATTGGAAATCATTTTACCCACATCATACTATACTTTATCAAGAGGCTTACAACACACACCCCACAGTATACTGGACAATTAGGTTCAACAATGAACGCAGGAGGCAACCCATACAAGAAAAAAATGGGAAAATTCCCCTTCCTTTGAGGACATGTACCCTGCTCACAGCACTAGTCTTCAGCCTCTCCTCCTGATGACAAGGCGGGGCCGTTGCCATCTGTGGCAGGCGCCCTCAGCCAGCCTGCAGGTCGGTCCCCCTTTGGAAGACGGCAGGGATGCAAAGATCCTGACCAGCCCTCTGCGCCCCAGCCTGGTCCTCCGGATGCTCGGGGATGGGTGGGGGGGAGGCCGCGATCTCCTCGGCCCCTGGAGAGAAGGGGAGCAGCTCTCTCCGCAGGTGACGACGCTGCCTGCAGCCAGTCTTGCGGGGCTGGGGGGGACGCGTTTACCTGGCGGCGAGGGGTCCCCGGGGTGGGAGGCCAGCGCCGTCGCGCTCGCGGGAAGGGCCGGCTGACACGCGCGGGGGTCTCGGCGAGGACGGCAGGGGACGCCCCGCGCTCCCGCCCCGGCCCGGCGGGCTCTGCGCTCCGCCAGTTCCTGCTTCCGCTGCAGCCACTGAAAGTTTGCCGCGGGGGAGGGGCGCATG